TTACCGTTCAAAATTATGTTATGTTTCAGATAAGATATCACAGTCTGTATGGAATCAGGGATGTGACATTATATGAATAGTGTGTACACAAACATATACGTTGTGTCGTAAGTTACAAGTCCATTCATACATGTGCTCGCACATGACTTACGTTGTTACACATAAATGAATATAAATAAATAATCATTGTAGACAAATCTATCACCATCAAACTTTTAATCATAACATTTGACATTTGTACTTTAAAACAAATCATTATAAAATAATGACGAAAAGTAATATGTTTAATAAAAAAAAGTTCTATTTACTAAAACTTTGATTTTTCTTCTCTTTGTAATGTGTTTTCGTAAAATTATATATCAATTTAAAAATACATTTCATACTAAGTGCAACTTTTATAATGAAAAATATCCTACTAAAACCAAAAATTTGGTAGAAAAAAACATAATTTTATTGTGTTATTATCAAATATCATATCGTTAATTAAACCCGTAACCATAATATATATATATATATATATGTATATATATTTATATGTATATAGGGTTGGGTTTACGTGAGACCAATCTGTTTCTCTAAGACCCGTAAGACCGCATTTTTATACTTGAAACTTCACAGCAAGAGTTTGTAAAGGTAAAAAAAAAACATTTGAACCTTCATAACAAAAACACTGTGAATTTTACCTTCACAGTGTTTGACAGCAAAGTTTCAAGCATAAAAATGTGGTCTCACAGGTCTCACGAAAACAAGTTGGTCTCACATGAGCCTAAGTCTATCTGTGTGTGTGTGTATATATATATATATATATATATATATATTTGACACTACAAAACATAGAAGCATTTTAGACGGACATTTTCGTTCGAAAATCTGTCGAGAATAGTGAGTTTCAACGGATTTTCGACGTAAACTCTCGTCGCAAAAAATTTGGTCGAAAACGTGTGTTTTAGCGAGATTTTCGACAAAAAAAGTCCGTCGAAAACCCATGAATATTCCAAGCGATTTTCGACAATACTTTTGAGGGATATTTTCGACCGATTTTCGATGGACGTGTGTGTTTCGAGGGATTTTTGACGGACAGGTTTTCATTGGATTTTTGATGGAAACTTCTTTTTAGGATTTTCGACGGATTGCTTTTCATCGGATTTTCGATGGAATATTTAATGAGATTTTCTACAGATTTCTTTTCATACCGAATTTTACATGAGATTTTTTACGGATTTCTTTTCATACGGAATTTTGCATGGGATTTCGACATAAATGACCACTTTATTTTCGACGAATTTTCATGGGATTTCCTTGGGATTTTTGATAGATTTCCATCGAAAATCCATCTAAAATTTCAAGTATTTTGAAAAAAATATTAAAAATACATGATTTCCTGTATAAAATCTGTCCAAACACAATTAAATAGACCGTAATATTAAACTACAAATAAAATGATCTAATTTGTTCACATGTAACTACAAATAAGCAGTGGAAATGAAATACGTCCACCTAGCTAAAATCAAAAGGGGGCAGGATGATATAAAGCTGATTGGTGAATCTAGCTACTTGCTCCATCATTTGTCTCACATGATGCCATACCTAGGGGAGTGGGAGAGGATGGTGTAAAGCTGATTGGAGCACCCGTGAATCTAGCAACCTGCTCCATCATTTGTCTCATTCGTGCTACAACGTGTTGTTGTACCTCCTGTTGCTCACACCTCTGCTCAAATGTCTACTGCTGCTCGCAAGCTGCTCATCTCTCTTTTTAAACGCCTCCTTCAGAAATAGTACCTTCATTTGTTAAACACAAACAATCTAATAAAAATCTCATATTTTCCTCTCTCTAAACTTGAATCCCGAAGATCTCTTAATTATTTACATAAAAATCTCACCTCTCTCTCCAGAATTAATTCATAAAAGTTGGCAGATGAGTTGCATCGAATTACATTTATTTCAAAAATTCAAACAACATGAGGGATGGATACACCGTAAAACCTTCTAATAATTTCAATGATACCAATGACGTGCACATTATGAAGCCTTGATGTTTGTGCATACATAACTGTGGGATGTGCATTCACAATGTCTATGCACAACATATATAGACTTGTGTTCACAATGTATCAAGGGAGTTGTGTCGACAAAGTGTATTCACAATGTGTTTGTTTCCAACAATCATGTGAATTGTGTATGCATAATAACTATGCATATTGTGTACACATTTATATGCACATTGGGTATACACAATGAGTTAGATGTTGCGGTGTATGTCTTTTTGTGTTGATATTATATATGCATAATATGTTATATGCTTCTAACTTTGCAAGTGTAAAGTTACTCTGTAACATTGATTGGAAAAGATGTTAAATATGATTGGATCTCATAGTTCATACAATATACAAGGTTCTCATATATATATATATATATATATATATATATATATATAGGAGAGCGATCAAATGCAAACCACTCAATTTGTACAAACCGTGCAAACCTCATTCAACCAATCATAATTTTTTATTTTGTTCATTTTTTTGTAATTATGAGAGG